ATGTTTTTAAAATTAGCTGGGTGATGTGACTGTTTAATGGAACTTGAGTCTTTAGAAGGTCCTCGGATGTCACTGCTGTCTACTTCCTCTAAATCTAATCATCACAGGACAAGGTGCAGGATGGTGCTTGCTTAGTGGATGCTGCCTTTTAAATTTCCTGTGTTACTGCCTGACAAGATTCGTTGATTCCAATAACTCCCCACAAAGGGCTCAGAATAATAAAGGAATAAATTAATCAGTCAATGGACAAGCAAGCAGTCTATGCTAGGCTGATGAACCACAATAGAACATCTCACTGCTGGCCGGGCGCGGTGGCTCAAGCCTGTAATCCCAGCACTTTGGGAGGCCGAGACGGGCGGATCACGAGGTCAGGAGATCGAGACCATCCTGGTTAACCCAGTGAAACCCCGTCTCTACTAAAAAAAATACAAAAAATAATTAGCCGGGCGTGATGGTGGGCGCCTGTAGTCCCAGCTACTCGGGAGGCTGAGGCAGGAGAATAGCGTGAACCCGGGAGGCAGAGCTTGCAGTGAGCTGAGATCGTGCCACTGCACTCCAGCCTGGGCGACAAAGCGAGACTCCGTCTCAAAAACAAACAAACAAACAAACAAACGAACATCTCACTGCTACACGGAGTCAGCCGTCTCCCACTGCCCTGCTGAACCCTATCTGAACAGGGAATCTGTGTTGTATCAGAGCCAGCCTGGCAAGGAACTGCTCAGCCGGCCTTTCCCCTCCTGTTCTCATAAAGACAAGTGCCAACGTATTCGTAATTTCCCAGTGAGGTGGCAGAGTCTGTAAATCCTTTTTTCCAATAACCCTAAACTTTTACTGGCCAAGGGTTCAACAGCCTGGTACACATTTAGGGAAACAAAAGGTTTATGGTGGCAGGTGACTGTTTAGAATAATGTTTCTTAACTCAGCTACACTTCAACTTGTGTAACTACCAGTGCCGTGGCTGCATGCCCAGAGGCTCTGGTTCGTTTGGACCAGCGTGGAGCCTGGGCATCAGGGTATTTGAAAGCTCCCCAGGGGCTTCTGATGTACAACCATGTCTGAGCATCCTGGGTTTAGATGCTTACAGGGAGGTGGGGCTGGGACTGGATGACCTCTTTAATAAACTTTGAAGTTTCACGGTCAACATTCCAACTTCATAATGAGATATAGAATCTGTTAGATTATATTTTTAATCACCAGGCCTATCACAAGGGAGGTGCTGTATATAAAATTGCTTATCATTAAAACATTCCCAGGGAAATTGTTGCTTCAAAAAGACAGCTGTACTTCCTTAGATCAACATGCACAGCTTGAAGGTTGCCAACTACATTGTAGTTTACTTTGCTCCTGGTCAATTCAACTCAATTCAACTCGAAGTTAAGATCAGGACGTTATAAAATTATTTTGTTTTCTTTTTCTTTGAATCCTGGATGAGAAGTCATTGTCCAAATCATTAGGTGTTTTATGCAATATTAACAACCTTTAGTGTGATTCCTCCCCCCGACATCAAACCTATAAACATTAAGCTATTCTAAAAGAAAGCTGCTATGATGAAAGCACTGGGTTTCAGACAGCAAGTCTCACAGCTGTGCAGGTTGGGACATAATAACCAATGATAACAGCAGCCTTTTGGATAGGGCTCACAATGTTCCCATCACCATGCTAGGCGCTCGGTGTGTACTGTCTCTTTTGCTCACAATATCTCCATTCAGCAGTGAGAAAATAGAAATTCAGAAAATGGAAGTAATTTTCCCCAGGTCACATATCAGGGATGGTATCAGAACTGAAACTGAAGAAGTCGCGCCCCAGCTTCTTCCTTTGGACCGAACTCTTAAGTCTGGGCTCAGTGTTCAGAATGACTTCTCTCAAGACCAAATGAGCTCATGTGTATGAAAAGCCTTTGAACACCTCTTAAATGCACTAAATACAGTGTTATTACCGTGAATGTGATGTTTGTATATTTGTATTCAAGGCCACCCATAGGGACTTTTTTTTATTTTTTATTTTTTATTTTTTGGCAATATACAGAAGCTGGATGTCTCCTGATATAGCATCTGGTGTAATTAATCCAACACCCTTATCTCTCTCCCTACTGAGCATTCTAAAAGGGAATGAAACATTGACCTAACTGATATTTCCCTCTAAAATCTTTGCAGGTTCCATTAATGAGCTGTCAGAACCCCAGGGCAGACACTGAACCCCAAATGGAACAAAATGTTCCTCCTGGAGAGGGTGGGTCAGTTGTCCAGGACAGCATTCCTCACGTCCCAGGGGTGTGCAGAGCCCTTTCAGAGGAGGATCAAACAAATGAAGCTTGTATGTCTCCTTTTCTAGGGAGTGACCTAAGCGTTTGATGTTAGTTTTCTACACATAATTATTTTTTTTTATTTCAGATGCATTTTAAATGTTAATGAAATATTTTATAAGTAAAGAATAATAAAATGAGCACTCACATGCCCTCCAGTCAGCACGAAAATCAGAGCACTCCCAAGTGTGCCCAGAACTTGGACTCCAGGTCCACCGGGTTCCTGGTCCCTCCTCCAGCAGACCAACCACTCCTCTGGGTTTTCTTTATGTTTCCCTGCCATTTTATCGCATGTTTATGGATCTCTAAACAATATACCATTTACGTTTATATTTTGAACTTTATATAACTGTTACCAGACAGTATCTATACTCATGTTACTTGAGGTTACATCAACATGAGTATAGATACTGCCTGTCTTGTCACTATACTGTAACATGAGTATAGGAATTTGATGTACCCTGAGTGTAGATACTGTCTGGTAACAGTTAAAGTTATGTAAAGTCTGCTATTTTGTCTTGTATCAACATTGTGATATTTGTGGATGTGGAAACATTAGCTGTAATTGAATCTTTTTCAATTTTCTGTCATAGTCCATTATACAAATGTATCGCAACGCCTTTATCCAGTCTCTTGTCCCTGGATATGTAGTTTTCTATTTTTTAAATGTATTTACAGCATTGCTATGTGCCTTTTGCTCATGTTTCCCGTGCACATGTGTCAAAGTTTCTGTAGGTTTTGCTGTGTGTATATTTCATTACTGAGGGTGCTGAACATCTTTGCATGGGTGCATTTTCTATGCATGTCACTACTTTTGTAAAACACTTGTTCCTGTCTTTTAACCTATTTTTCTTTCGGGTTGTTTGCCCCTTTCTTATTGATGCGCATCATTTCTTTATACATTTAAGATTCGAATTATTTGTCAATTACATTATTTCCAAGATCTTCTCTCATTTTACAGCCTGTCTTTTCACTCTCATTTTGATATTCTTTGGCAGGAACATATGTTGATTTCAATGCATTTCAATGATTTTATTCATTTATGGTTTGCATTTTTACATCTTCTTAAAGAAATTGTCCCTACCCCAAGGACATAGTCTCGTAGCTTATCTTGTAACATTTTTGTACTTTCATCTTTCATGATTATGTCTGTAGTCCCCCTGAACTGGATTTTCGGGAAGGGTGTGAAGCATGCTTACAATTATCTTTCCATAGGAATAATCAATTGTTCCAGAACAATTTATTGAGAAAGTCATCCTTTCCTTCCTGATCTTTGGAGCCTCTGCTATTTATGAAACTTCTGTGTATGGGAGGATTTGCTTTCAGACTCTCCACTAAGTTCCACTCATCTTTTGTCCTCTGATGTGACAACACCACACGTCCTTACCTACTACAGCTTCTCCACACAGATGGGACATTTGGCACAGCCAGTCACCTGGGCATGCTGCTCTTAACAGTGTCCTGGCTGTCCTTGGCCTTTGGCATGTATGTGTATGTGTGTCACTCATGCACACACACAAGTTAGAATAAGTTGGTTCAGTTCTTCTAAAAACACCTTTGGGAGATTAGTGTGAACTGCACTCAGTTTATCCACCAATGGAGGAAGAATTTCTTAACTTCAGCTGTTGAACCTTTCAATACGTGGTACACTTCCCAGTTTATTTACTTCAAAAATACTTTCTCCGTAAATGTTTATAGTTTTCTCTGTAAACTGCTTGCAAACCTGGTTTAAATTTATTCTTAGGTATCTTCTTTGAATATTTTTGGTATGTGTTTCATTTTGTAAATGTAATTTTTAAAATGTATGTTTGCTAGCATATTAGTCAGGGTTCTCTTAGCAGGACAGAACTAATAGGATACATAGATTACTTACACGATCACAAGGTCCCATAATAGGCTGTAGGCTGAGGGGCAAGGAGAGCCAGTCCGAGTCTCAAAACTGAACAACTTGGAGTCTGATGTTCGAGGGCAGGAAGCACCCAGCTTGGGAGGAAGATGCAGGCTGGGAGGCCAGGCCCATCTCTCTTTTTCACGTTTTTCTGTCTGCTTTATAGTCTCCAGAAGCTGATTAGATTGTGCCCACCTGATTAAGGTGCATCTGCCTTCCCCAGCCCACTGACTCAAATGTTAATCTCTTTTGGCAACACCCTCACAGGCACACTCAGAATTAATACTTTGTATCCCTCAATCCAATCAAGTTCACACTCAGAATTAACCATCACAGCTGGTTAATAGAATTGCACTTGACATTTTCTATTGATTTTGCATCCAGCAGTCTTGCTAAACTCATTTAATTCCAATAATTGATCTGTGGTTTCTTTTGGATTTTGTATTTAGATAATTACACCCTCTCTGAATAATGGCACATTTATTTCTTCCTTTTTCATCCTCAACTCTGCCTTATTTCCTGATCTTACTCCACTCTCCAGAACCACCTGTGCTATGTTGAGCAGAACAGCCATGGTGAAAATGCAGCCCTTGCCTTCTAACTCATCATAGAAGAAATGCTCCCAAGTGTTTGCCATGGAATGTGAAGTTGCTGTAGATTTATCTGGGAATGACCTCGGTCATTGGGTTTTTGTTTCTTTGTTTTGGTGGTGGTGGTGGTCTTGTGGTCTGTGTTCTGTTTTTCTTTATTTTGAATGGATTTTGAATTCTATGAAGTATGTTTTCTGAATCTACTGAAATGATCATGTGGTTTTTTTTTTGTTTTTTTTTTTTTTCCATTTAATCTGACAGTGAGGTGTATTGTATTGTCAGTAGAAAACCAGCCTTCTGTGACTAGGATAGATGCAATTGGTTGGGATGTACTTTTTAATATATACCTAGCTAGATTTTTTAACATATTTTCTGCAGGGCTTTTGCATCTGTGTTCATGGGTGAAATTCATCTACACTGTGGGTCATTACATTATTGAATTTTAAATCAGTTTATTGGAATGGTAGGTACTTCAGTAGGTACAAACACAAAACTATGTATAAACTAATGTAACTGTAAAGTCATATATAATTTACCAATTCAACAAATCTATGAAAGTAGCAAATTTAAAAACATATATCAATTTGCAGTGCTGATGTTTTATTGAAACTCTCTGACAGTTGGAATATGATGACCGTGCTGACTGCTCCATGAATTTTCCTTTCTTCTCCTGCGTTACCACGTGCCTTGTCATGACTTAACTTCCCATGCATTTTCTTTATTTGACCTGTGGAGAAACCTTCTTTGGAACAATACAGCTCTGTTATTGTTGCTTTGCTTGGCGGGAATACATCTTTGACATGTCAAGTCTCCTTTTATTCTTTTCTCACCTGCCCACAATAACTAAAGCAGCACTACTTGGCACCAGTGTGCTTATAAACATAAATTCAGGCCCTAAAATCAGGATAGAAGGACTTGGTTATTCAGTAGTCATCCAGGTGGTCCACAATATGGGATATACATTTTACTAAGATTCTCATCAAAATGAACATATGAAATGTCAGTGTTTTAAAAGGACCTATGGCCTCAGATTCCCAGGTTATCACTAAGTTTGAGAAGCATCTATCCAGAGTTTTTTCCAGAAGGAATTGTTAGTACAATTTGCTGGGCTGCATTTGAACCAATGTCGGGCTTCCCTTAGGACCAGCAGAGATGATAAACAGAACCTAGGTGAGTGGTAAGGAGTCTTTTAGAGAAGTCCTCCTCCCTGGAGGGCCTCACCCGAGATCTGATTTGTAGAAAGCAGAACTTCACACTGACTTTGAGTAACTGTCTTCCATGATGAGCTGGGGAGAGAAGGGAACTATGTCCATAAGACCACAGGGCTTCATGACCTTCCGCTGTTTCTCCACACAGAGAGCCCTCAGCCTACAGCAAGAGAGGGATGATCCCACCAGCTGGAAATAGAGAGGACTCCAACCCAAACCCGCCGCCATCATGAGGCGGCAAGAGTCGGACATATCTTCCCCACGTCCTCCCCTAGACACACCCTACAGAAAGTCCTTTGAAAACACCCCACCGTGAGGCTGCCTTATTCTCATGTTAGCCTGATTTGCAATAGGAAAAATGTTGAGGACACAAAAGTCCCTGGCTTTATTTGCCCTGGTCGCTTCATCCTCATGGTGGTAAAATGCCCCAAGTTTTTAAGCGCCTTTCGTGTGCCAAGCAGCCCCTGCCTTAGGACCACCCGCTGTTAAGTGTTCGCTGGTGACGCCACTGTCTTACCTCATTGACACTAAATGGTTAAGCAGGGCTGGTAAAACACAGAACATTTCTCAGGTTATTGTTTCAAAATACACCATGTTTGTCAGGCAGAAAAGGTTTCCCTCTTAGGATCACCTGTGATGAGCAACGTCAAAGCGTTTTGATGCAACTCATTGCTTTGCTGGAACTGGTTTTCTCCATACGACGCAGGGGAGAGCTTCCATGTCAAGGAACAAACTGGTGAATATTCAGATGGTCGGGGGTGTGATTTCAGGGTCTGCGGGGATTAAGGAACATCGAAGCGTAAAGTTAAGGACATTACTCTGTTTTCAATTCTCTCAAACTTCCTTTTCCAATAAGGAGCATGATTTTGACATCTCCTAATACTTGCTCATGTCTCTTTTTAACAAATAGAGAGTGAGCCTTAGGCCCAGAACTCTAAGCAGGACTGGGCAGAATTCGTTATCATGCTTTGGTTTTTTGGTATTTATTTTATGCTTATCATCCCTTCACTGCAAAGAATACTGGTGTTCCATTTATAGTAGTAATACAAAATGTCCCTGATAAATGAAACTTGTTTACATAAAGAGGGAATTAATTGAAAAGAAAAAACGACCGGGCACGGTGGCTCACTCCTGTAATCCTAGCACTTTGGGAGGTCGAAGTAGGCGGATCAGGAGGTCAGGAGATTGAGACCATCCCGGATAACACAGTGAAACCCCATCTCTACTAAAAATACAAAAAATTAGCCAAACATGATGGTGTGCACCTGTAGTCCCAGATACTCAGGAAGCTGAGGCAGGAGAATCGCTTGTGCCTGGGAGGCGGAGGTTGCGGTGAGCCGAGATGGCGCCACTGCACTCCAGCCTGGGTGACAGAGCGAGACTCTGTCTCAAAAAAAAAGAAAGAAAAAGAAAAGAAAAGAAAATAATAGTGCCAGAGGTACTCACAAAGGTGGTTGGTGTTTAACCAGCCTTGGAAAGTGCTCCTGTCAGGGAGGGAAGCCAAGGTTTAGCAACAGCCCACATTATGTGGAAACCCAGCCCTGACACTCACTGGATTGATGATGTGTTTAACCCCTCTGAGCCTCAGTTTCCCTATTCACAAATAAAAAGACCTCCCAGGGATACTGTGAAGGTTAAAGGCAATAACATATAGGTAGCATTCCTTATGTAGTAAATGTTAATTCCCTCCCTGATGTTGGAGGATAAATCTATTATTATCTTGAATCTGGGCCAAAGACATAATAATATTTGCATAAGTGATGAAAACAACAAAATGGGAAAACATGGACTTTGCAGCAAGACAAGCCTATGAGCTTTTTCAACCTTGAACCTTCTGATTTGATTTCCTAATCCATAAAACGAGGAAGATTAAGATACTTATTTTGCATAATTGTTGGGCAAATCTGAGGTGATGTATGTAATTAAGTCACATCCTAGTGATCACATCAAGTACAGAGAGGCCTCAATCAATAATAGCTGTTTGTTATGGTCCTCATTGGGGAAGGACCATGACTTTCCTTCCTCATATGAGAGCCTCCTTTATCTTTTAAATTGTATCCTCATATGCATAAAATATTCTTCAGTGTTTGGAGGGAAATCGTTTGATAAATATTGGGGTCAAGAAGCAACAAGGTGTTGGGGGGCATCCTCTAGAGCCTTGAGAATTTGGGGTGTGCAATTCTAATTTCTGAGATGCTCATGTAGCTGCAGTTTCTACATGAAGACCCACTCACCTCATTAATTCAAGGTTCAGGGCACTAAAAGCCCATCTACCCATCATCCTTTTCTCCTTTTCGTACTTCTATTTGAAAACTATTATTATCTCTCTCTTTTATTTTTTGAGACAGGGTCTCACTCTGTCGTCCAGGCTGGAGTGCAGTGGCACAGTCATAGCTCACTGCAGCCTCAAACTCCAGACCTCAACCTCAAGCAGGTGTTCCTCCCATCTCAGCCTCCCAAGTCACTGGGACTACAGGTGCACACCACCATACCTGGCTAATTTTTAAATTGTTTGTGGAGATGAGGTTTTGCTATGTTGCCCAGGCTTGTCTCAAACTCCTGGGCTCAAGTAATCCTCCTGTCTCAGCCTCCCAAAGTGCTGGGATTGCAGGTGTGAGCCACTGGGCCTGGCCCTCTTTATTTTTCTACCGACAATTACCTTCCACTTGACCAGAGGTCTTTTTAAGGATTAAAGAGTAGTAATTTGGCTCCCGTAAAAGGAATTTTCTAAGGTGGTGCCTGTGAATGTGCTGTGAGCGGTGTGACTTCTGCATTGCAGTTGCAATTGTGTGGTAGTTTCTAAAAAGGGGGAGCAAACGCTGATGTGGCCGAGAAGGAAGGCCCTTACTATGAGGCTTCCGTTAAGTCTCCTCCAGGTCACATTTTCATAACACCAAGTGATATTTTTCAGCTTGAATGTCTCCTGATAGTATAAGGAGTTTGAAATTTTCCTTTATTAATTAACATTTTCATTTTGCTCACATTTTGGAGAGCACTGATTTTCCAGAAGTGCTAATTACCAAGCTCACAGCAGAAGGTTGGCTGCATTTTAAACTATTTCCTCAGATGCTCCCTGCTGAACTCAAAGATGTCCTCATTCAGCCGAGCCAGCCTCCCAGGTGGGTGGGAGGCCCCTGGCTGGTGCCACTCACAGACTTTGGGCATCTTCTGAACCCGCTGAGAGCTGAAACACCAATAGGCCCATACTCCTGAGGGGGTTCTGGCCACATCTGTCTTTAGGAGAAATCCGTTTATTGGTGTAAAACCCTGACGTATGACATCAGAAAACCAGAGCACCTGGCCATGCACCAACCCTGTAGCTCCAGACAGAGCTCCCTATGATGTGGCCTGCCACAGTCATGTGGCTCGTGAAGGCCTGGAAGTTTCTGTCTAAGTCCAGGCAAAACAGAGGGACTCACAAGCCCCTCCTCCTCCTGGTGCCAGAGTAATAGATGCATGCATACCTGCATGAAGGCTTGTTTGCAGATGTCTCTATCCGTTATGTCTGAGCCCATTCAGGCTGCTCTATCAATATCGTAGATGGAGGGGCTTAGAAAAACAAATTGATTTCTCATCGTCCTGGAGGCTGGAAGTCAAGGTTAAGTTGCCAGCTGATTCCGTGCCGGCGAGGGCCTGTGTCCTGGCTCATAGACTGCCTTCTTCTGTGTTCTCACCTGGTGGACGGGACAAGTTTTTTATAAGGGCACTAATCCCGTTTGTGAGCGTTCTTCCCTCATGACGCGATCATTTCCCAAAGACCTCACTTCCTGATACCATCCCATTGGGGGTGGGATTTCAACACGTGAACTTGGGGAAGACATGAACATTCAATGTGTAACACCACAAAGAAGACATGGGAGGTTGGACGCAGTGACTCACGCCTATAATCCCAGCACTTTGGGAGGCCAAGGTGGGTGGATCACTTGAGGTCAGGAGTTCAAGACCAGCCTGACCAACATGGGGAGACATTGTCTCTACTAAAAATACAAAAATTAGCCAGGTGTGGTGGCAGGTGCCTGTAATCCCAGCTACTGGGGAGGCTGAGGCAGGAGAATTGCTTGAACCTGGGAGGCAGAGGTTGCAGTGAGCTGAGATCATGCCACTGCACTCCAGCCTGGGCAACGCGAGACTCCATCTCAAAAAAAAAAAAAAAAAACTGGAAGACATAGGAATCTGGGATTTATGTACTAATTTTCAACATTGACAGTCCCCAGGCTTTCAATCCATGATGTAAGTAATGAAGATGAGCTGCTGATCTCTCAGTACCTGGCAAAGCCCTTTCCTGAACCTGGGGTTACCATTTTCCCATTTCTGGGGGTTTTCCCAGGATGTTCATGCTGATACCAGGACAGTCCTGGCTAAGCGGGATGGTTGTTCACGCTGCTGACAGGCTCTGGGGGTCTTGGCACCACCACGTTCTCCTGGTGCCACACACACACCACCCATGCCAGACTGCTGAATCTCATCTTATGAGTCAATTAATTCACTGTCCTCCACCTGCTGAAAGTGCCTAAAGAAATGAGATTTGCATAGATAACGTTTTGAAAGGTTTTATCTTCTGTTTTGTCTTTAAAATAGACCCTGTGTGTGGGTCAGCAAGTGATATTAGGAAGACGAGGGTAAGATGGTATCAAATGAAGGGAAGACTACAGGGCTGGCAGCAAGGACACAGCTTTGGGGTAGCAGCGGGACTTGGGGATTTGGTGAGGGTGCATGAGGCCCAAGACTGTTGCAGAGCCTGATGCCTCGGCCCCTGGGTACCTGGACCACAGTGGCAGGGCGCCGGAAAGGGCTGTGAGGGCACTGGGTCAGGAGCCAAGAACTCACGGGAGTCAAATGAATGCTGTGAGCCGCTATATTTGCCCAGAGCTGTGCTAGTGTTTGTACAAGATTTTTAAAAAGGGAAAATGTTACTGTTGCCTGAAGGAGATTAATATTTGGATAAGACATACATACATGACATAAGCTAAGAAAGTTATTACAAGATTTTAACCAGAGTCTTACCGCCCTGTTTTTAAGGCAGGATAATTGTATGAAATGATTGCTATAGTTCAGAGAGGTGAAGTAATCCTCTGAATCACATAGTGGCGATTTGGTGTTTTGTGAGTTTGGAGGAGAGGTGAAGGTGGTTCTGGAAGGCTTTCTCCAGGAGACGGGGCAGACTCGGGCTCTGCAAAGCAGGCAAGGTCATCAGAGAAGCGGAAGCAGCAGAGAGCTGGAGGCAGGCTGTGCGGTGGCCGGCACTGTGTGGCTTGGGGAGATGCTGAGGGTAGGAGGATGCTGGCCTGGCTCTAAGTCATTGGCCCTGCGGCACGTGGCGTGTCTGGAAATGAGTTCCTGCAGATACTCTGGACAGGCAGGAGACTTCAATGGGCACTGGGGCAACCTGGGCCAGCTGGAGGTTTCCTTCCTGATCAAACAAACGGACCCTACTGAGACACCTCCCCGAAAGCCACAGGACTCAGGCCCCTTCACGGGTGACCCTGTGTGATCCACCTGAGAAGGGGCCCAAAAGAGGCCTCTCGGAGGAGGCAGGCCCCGTGGCAGCACTGGCCTGGAAATCAGCCCCCAGTGCCTCTGGCTTCAGCCCAGGGACTCCACGCAGGGCGCTGAACCACCTCCACAAAACCCATGCAATCCTCAGAGCCCAGCCTCGTCGGCAGGAGGACAGAGCCCACCTGACAGTGTGTCTGAATGGGGAAGCTTCCATTCTGCGAGAGCTCCGGGCTTTGTGAACTGACACAGGGCACAGCCACCCAGGCCCCTGGGTGTGGAGTAACCTAAGAAGTCACGTATCCCTGGGGTGATGAGGATTGAGGCTGAGATAGGGAGAGGGAGAGGAAAGGTTACAGGGGACCCAGTGACAGGAGCAGCAGTGAGTTCAGCCCTCGTCTGCCCAGGGCAGTCCAAGTTTACCCCAGAGTCCAGGGGAAGTCACAAATAGGGCTTCCTTTCATGTGCAGATGTCCCCTCATTTGGATGACAGGTTATAGGAGCCTCCTAAGTTTGCTGACTTCTGAGGTCTCAGGCAAAGAGATCACTTCTTTGGCACCCCTACAGATGAAGTACGTTGTTCAAGTGTTGGAGGGAGTGGCCTAGCCCAGGCCCCAGAGCTGGAGCCAGCCTGGTCCCCATCCAGGCCCTGCCACTCATGGGCTCTCTCCTGTTGGGCAAATTACCTAGGCTGTCTGTGCCTCATTTTCCTCTAATATGCATATCAACTTAGCGCCCACCTCATGGGATTATGAGGATGTGACTCATACTGTGTGTGATGCCGTGTTAGCCTTTGTTAATGAGAACCTCCTGGTCAGAGCTGTGTGGTGGGCAGCCAGAGGCCGATTACAGCGAACTAGCAGGAGTGGAGTCAGGGGCCAGCCTAGGAGGGCCGGTCACACAGTGGCTCAGCTGGTCAGAAGACAAGTCTAAGTCTCACACAGGCAGGAAAACGTGACAGTGAGAAAGGGTCCTGTCCTAGCCCCTGAGAGAGTGCAATGATTCTGCAAAGACCCTGACACCTGCTCTTGTGGCTGAGCTGCATAAAGTGGGGGTTGAATTCCTGAATCCACTAAAGGCACGTACTTCCAGTATGGTAGGCGTGAAAGAGGGGTGAACATAGATGAAGAAACAAGGGTTTTCCCAGGTGCTGTCTGTAGGTCACACGGGGGCATGGCATTGATGGGAAAGTCAGCCTCGGGCATCACATGCATTGCCCAAGGTGTCCCGTCAAGTTCCCGGCAGATTTGGCTTCATATCCAGCTTGCCTGATTCCACAGAGGCCTCCCTTTAAGGAGGCTTGGACAACCCAGGCTGCCATGACCGGAACCCCAGAACCTGCCCACAAGAAATTGCTGCTGTTCTCCTCCTCCCCTGCGAGGCTTCTCTCAGCCGGGGGCTTCCAAGTTGAGGCCTCCAGAGCCAAGACTGCTTTGTCTGGAGCTTGCTCCGGTGCCCCTGCTGCACCCTGTGCGCTCTGGCAGAGGAAAGAGCCCGGGGATCCTGCACAGCCCTTGGCTCTGCTGTGGCCCCACATCGGGCCCCTTGGCGTTCCAGGTGGCCCTGCTGTCCCACGGACATCCTCCAGGAAGCCAAGGATGGGAAGGTTTCCGAGGTCTGTTTGGCAGAGGTCACATGGATATGTCGGGAGAGGAGTGCTGTTCTGGTACCCCAGGGCTTGAAGGTTTCCATTGTTTTCTCTGTGGATAGAAAGACTGGTTTTCAGGCAGAGGCAATAAGGGAAGAAACAATACATGTGAAGGTGAAAGAGGACAGTGTTAGTCGTAAAAGAAGCCACTTCTTCTGCAAAATTGTCTTGGACCCCCAGGTTAGAATTCCCATGACCTTCAGCAATGGCGCGTGCGGCTCTGTCTGTACACTCGGTGTATGGTAAACGTTTGTCTACAGGTCTTTCCCTGTCACTTGTGACATCCCACACAGCTTAGGACGGCGGCATATTTTTTATTTTATCACCAATTCTCGGTGCTGGTGCTAGGTTCATTGTAGGTATTTGGTTAAACTTTATCATTTATTTATTTTCACATTATAAAAATAATACAGAATATAGTAAAAAAAAAAAAATAGGAAAAAAAAAAACCTTTTTAAAATAGCATCAATAGACCCAGTATCTACAATTACTATTAATATTTTAGTATGTTTTCTAAATCTATTTCCAAGAGTAGATGTATTTTTTTAGTTACAATTATTAGTTTTACATCCCAACCTTTTGATACAATTAGCATTTTATACAATTAAATACTTATTGTTAACATAATTTTAATAGTTACATAGTTTTTCATTGAGTAGATCTACCAAAATGCAGTTAACCATTTTCTGGCTGGACAGCTGGACCATTTATAATATTCCCTGTTATCATTGATGCTGTGAAACACTTTTGGGTCTAAGATATTCCTTAAGTGGATTACTGAGTCAAAAACTAGGAACACTTTTTTAAGGCTCTTGATGCATATTTGCGAATTGTCGTCTGTATCCCTCATCATTCACCCTGATTCCACGCTCACCAGCACCAGGTGAATATGCAATTTGTTTTAAAGAGACCTTGCTAAGGCTATGATTTTTAAAAAAGATCTCTGCTAATATAATTTAATTGCATAGCTATTTAAATCAGCATATATTTAATTATATTCCGTAGTTAATTAAATTCACATATATTTTATAGTAAATTGATTTTTCTGTAAAGTAATACCAGTGGTATCTTTCTTGTGATTTTATTCTTGCTCCATTTATCTTTTAATGTCTTGGTGTGTAAATAACAGAAAAGCTCCCTGAAGGGGAAAGATAGCGGAAGTCGGAAATCACCTCTGAGTCCTTCACGGTCCAGCCAGGAGCTAGTCTCAGGCATAACAGGGCAAAGAGCTTCTGATGACTGTGCCAGAGGCAGCGACTTCTGGGCCTGACTCTGTGATTCCCCTGCCCATCCTCTAGGAGGCACTAATGAGCAGCAGTGAGCTGAGGAAGACGAAGAACTGGAGGACACCAAAACTTAGAAGATCTAAGTAACTTACAGATGGGATAATGAGCCCCCGTAGGCTGCAGAAAGATTGGCTGCTGGTCACACTATCTTGGAGAAGAGCACGGTTCCAAGATCAGCCACCCAGGGAACCTGGGAGGGAAGCAGACACTGTCTGAGAAGGGAGGGGATTGGTGGTTTCACTGAACCCTCAAACCGATCCCATCCACTCCAAATACCTGGGATGATCAAGGAAACTTAGCCAGGAGCATCCGAATGATGTTTCATGGGTGGCATTTTACCCTTGCTAGAAGCCGGAGGCCACTCGTATTAGGACTGTATAATAAAAGGCCCAGAAACTTAGCAAAAAAAAAAATGGATTTTTCCATCACCTTAGAAAGATATTGAAAATTCCTTCACTTCTTTGCAGTTAGAGGGTGACTTCCGGCAGCTGACGAGTCTCGGATCTAACTGCAATATAAAAAGATTTGT